AAACAAACAATTTTTATTTACATTTTCAAAGCACTGAAATTGTTTTTTATATTATTTTTAATATTTTCAATTAAAAAATTTTTACTTCAACACTATTTATCTTTTATTCTTCAAGAATGTTTTATATCAACTTTTTTCGTGCAACTTTTAACATTTTAAATATTTTTTATTTTTTAATTGTTATAAATAATTTATGTAAAATATTCTTAAAGGTATTTCGTTCAAATATAATTTTTTATTTTATCCTCTTACTCCCAATTTTTGGACTTTTGTATACCCATGCCTAAACAGTTTTCTATTCTTATCACGCAAGCTTTCAAAAGAGCATATACACTTTTTGCCCTCCAGAACAACTTAAATTTGATCAATGAAGTAAAGTTTTTCTTACATAGAACTTGTTGGGCTCCATTAAGTCTTTCTTTTGCCCTACGAATGGCGAGAGAAAAGAACCTAAATTTCAATCATTACGATTGAAAATCACCAAAAAATAAGAAAAACTCAGATAAAAAGAAGAAAAAAAAATTGTTCAATTACGAAAAAGTTGAAAGCAGTTGAGAAAAAGTGAAACGAATCCCAAAGAACCACACAAATCCAAACAAAACAACTACAAGAATAACAATGGGCAACCCAAAAGAAGCGAAAAGAAAAGGAAAAGGAAAAACGCACACAATGCGGCGGGCCCAAGGAAAATGAACACGAAAACTGCTGGCAAATGACTTGGCCAAGAAGCAAATACAGCAGCTCAAAAAAAATGCTTGGCAGTCAAACACGCAAAACGACGGAATGATTAAGAGAGGACCAATTCGTAAGCCACAATAACAAAACACAAAACAAGAAGCAATTTGCTCTGTCTAAGGATAATGCGCAGCTAAGTTGGGCTAAGCTAAGATACTGCAAATACTAATAGAAAACTGAAACTGAAACTGAATCTACATTTTAATTAAGTAGCATTTGAAATGTTAACTAAATCAGCCATTTCACTTTATACTAAGATCTTTCGTTTCTTTTATGTTAAATTAGCTCTTTACCTTAGTTTGGAAATCGATTGGCGATTTCAGTTTTTCATTTTAATTAGGTTTTGCAGCTGCTTTGCTTGTGAAAATAAAACTGGCTAATCCTTTTCAACTTTATAGTGTAGTTGCATGGCTGAAAGTCTCAAAAATGGTAATGAATGAAAGCGAATACAATTTTGCATGGTATATATATAAATATATATATATATTATATTAATATTAAACAAAGTCCTAATTAAAGAAATCAATGGTTTGGTACAGCTGTCAAGCCAAAAGGTTAGCTTCAGTAGGATCTTATGAGTGGGTTTTATATTAAATGATTTTAGATTAAATTAAACAATTTTATACATTTTTAATTTAAATACATAAAGCATATTGTTTACAATATACATAAAATATAAAATAATATATAATATATTTATATACCTTTTTAAAATACTTATATTTTTCAAACATTTCTCAATTTTCTTAGAAGCTAATTTGAGCCTTAGACCTGCCAGTAATTACAACAAATTATGTTTTTATGAACAGCATTTACTTACGGCGCATTAGTTACGCAAATCTGAAGTAATTTTTGTTTTTGTCGCAAAGCGCGATTTACTTCGAGTAGCAAGAACAATGCGCCGTGTTCCCATTTCCAACGCTCTGACTGTGCAAATTTTGGTCAAGGACTTTTCGCCTGCTGCATGCTAATCCTTTTAAGCAGCTTTTCTCTGCACCTACAATGCGCACTCTAGAAGTTGGGTCGGCTTTGGGTATGCGATGTATTTGTCGCCGACTGGCGTCTCTCATGGGCATAAATTAAAACAAGAACAGCAATAACAACTGGCATAGGAAACGCTCCAGCGTTGCATAGTTGAAAACTTTATGACATTGTTGTTATACCCTAAATCGAAGCAGAATGAATAGAACAAGCGGGCATGTTGGTTTTAAGGGCATTTACGTAACAGCACATCAGAGAGACGAGATTGTCTCTATTTTGTCATGTTCTTCAGGTGATACCAAATTGAGACACCAAATTTGGTATGTACATTTTTATAACATACTTTACTTTTTCCATAACAAAAGAATCAAGAAAAACGCACTTTTCATAGTATTCTCGTGTCTCTTGGTTACACCCAGAACACTACAAAATATTTGACAGAGTATATCCTAGTCAAACCCACCCGTTGCTTGTTTTTATTACTTTTTGTTTTCATTTTCCTTCGGCTACAACTGCAGTTTTCTTAACGTTTTTCGTCGCCCAGGAAACAAAAGCCAGCGCACTCGTAACTAACACATGAACATTTATTTTCATTTCCATTTCCGCATTGTGCACAGTTTTGGAGTCTATTTCTTATTCTCTTTCTCTTTCTCTTGCCGCTATTCGCTTTTCGCTTTTCACTTTTCACAATTTTCAGTGTTGCTTAGCGCGTTTTTAATTTGCTGTCACATTGTCTGCTCCGGCTGTCAGACGGCATACATAACTGAAGCATATGGCCAGCCTGAGCATCCTCGCCAGGCACCCAACCGACGCACACCCACATATGACCGACTGTCAAATTTGGGGCATTGTTAAAGTTTTAATGAGTTTTTGTAAAAGTGGCCAAACGGACATACCGCTGCACAGATCTGCGCAAATATGTTAGCAAATTCGGGCAATGCAGAAGTTCACTTGGACTTATCTACTTAAAAGATATTTGTATATATTTTTTGCCATTTAGCTTAAAAAAGAAGCTTAGGTAAAAATTTGACTATTGGACTTTTTTTTTGGGAGCAAAGAGAAGTGAGATAATTTATAAAAATAATTCAATTCAAGATAATGCAAAAAAAAGTTACCTAAAAGTTCGGACAATTTATTTATGTATTAAAAGCTAAGGCTATATATATATTTTATTTTATATTATATTTTTGATCAAGACTAAATTATAGAAAATTAATATATAGTAAAGAAAAGAAATATTTTAGTAAATTTATGCAAATAAATGATATTATAATAATAAATCAAAATAAATAAAGTCGCAAAACGAATAACAAAATCCTCCCAAGGAAAAAAATTTGCTTTTGGGTTTTTTGACTAAAGAACAAAGACTATACAAATTTCAAGTAATTCGCAGAGCAGAAGCTGCCAAAATGTTTATTTCGTATAGATTTAGTTTATTTCAAATAAACATTTATATAACTTACAAATGACTAACTGAGTAATAGAGATAGATATTTCATAGACCACAGCTTAAGATATTTGCAAGCAGTTCAATGAAATTGCATATCAATTTGCAGCCACAATTCATGTAGCAGACACAAGCAAAAACTATCGATTTTCAAAAGCCACAAAGCCAATGCTATCGATAAATAAACACACACACACGCACACACAGATAGATAAACTTATGTGTGTTTGAAAGCTTTTAAGCAATCAACTAACTGAAAAACGCGCATACAGCTCAAAATTTATAATGTATTTTGCGCAAATTCATTTAAAAGGATGCTCAGCCTGAGCATCAAACTTGGCCAAGGCAATCAAGTGTGAATATATATGGCCTTGCGCCTTAGCCACACACAAGGGCCGCATTCACTCAGCCTCTGTCAAGTTTGAGTGGCTCGTCTGCTGCTGCTGTCGCTGCTGTTCATCTGCCCAGACTCTTTGCTCTGCCTGCATCGATGCCATTTTATTTTTTTTGGCATAGTGCCAAATACATTTAAGCAACTAGCACGTGCAGCCTGTGTCAGCAGCAGTCTGACAGCAGTTAACAATATATAATTAAATTTATCTAGCAAAACTCAAAATAGTTTACATTGGACTTTAGACTGGACTTTAACCGGCGTGCAAGGGTTCACAACAGTTTAAGCACTGCAATTACAGCAACAACACCAACAACAACAACTGTCTGGGAGTTGTTCTAGAGTGTGCCCGTTTGCATAACAATTAGCCACACTTGGAGTACTCTCCCTAACTCTCGAACCACTTTAACCAATGATTTGTGCAAATGTTTTGACGTCGCGTCGTCTTCGCTGTTGCCGTTGCTGTCGCTGTTGCTGGGCTTTGTCTGCCTCGACTCGTTCATTTGCATATTAATTACAACAAAGCACGCAGATGTTGTTGCTGCTGCCTTTGCTCGTGCCAAAGTGCCGACAAGATTAATTGTGCCCGCGAATCCTAAAAGTAGACTACAGTTTTTTGCGCCCCGACTAAGTGCTCTGCCTGGGATGCTAACACACTTGGCTAATGGCTTTGTTGGAATCAGGCTCACTCGGTAATCAATGACAGCTTGCGGCTAATCAATGTGCCAATAAGTGGCAGCAAATTATCGCTGATTGATGGCTAGATAAACGCATATAGCTAGGATAACAAGCGAGATAAATTGATTACCGCACTGCGATTAGCGTCGCTTGTTGCCCACGCACGTGTGCTCCATTTAGCTAAGCTAATTCTAACAGCGGTTTAGCTCAATTAGTGCAGCTTTTAGTGTGTAAAATACACGTGCTTTTTATTCAGATTAACCAAGCGTTTCATAAAAGCAAAAAGTCTAAAGGCAACAACAAGAATTACATGTTTATTTCTAAACTGTTTAAATACTTTATTATTTGTTGTTCTGCAACATGCATGAACTGCTTTTAGTTTTAGTTTTAAACTCGAAACAAAATTTACAAATTATAATTTTAGCTTAGTTAACCGTTTAAAATATTATATTTCAAGTTATGCGAGCTGTTACCAAACTTTGTCTAATGAGCATGGCTCAAATTGAAATGAGCTACGTTTTGCAGTTTATATACAAATTATTTAGTTTTATTAAACAAAATATTTAAAATATAAAACATTGTTTGCTTCATATCTACAAACCTATAAAAAAAACTAATGTTGATGTTGCGGTTTAATCCTTTATTAAGCTATTGCAGATGAGAAAAGACAAGTAAAACTAATAAAATATATGCTATCGTATGACTTTTAATATTAATTGTAATATTAATTAACAATAAATGTCGTCGCATCACTGGAATTGAGCTCACCTTATCCAAAATGTTGTGCGTTGGGCGCAGCTGCACGTTGTCTGCAAATGATAAGAAACAAATTCAATTAGCAATCGGAGAACTGAACTAATTGCATGAATATAAAATAACAATTCAGTAAATCGAGCACGAAAATGCTGTTCAAATTAGCCTTAACACTCGCTCGACTAATTGCATTTGCTCAATGGACTGGAAACATTGAAGCGTTCTAAATGCATTTTTAACACAAATAAAGAAAGTCGGTGCCATTAATTGGGTATTTAAAAGTCACTTTATTTAAAGATATCTTGACATTAATAAGTGTAATTGACACTGAGAGAATTGAAAGTAGTAAGACTACGAGATACCCTAAAGTTTCTAAGGTCCCTTCTGTACTTTTATATTGGGGTCTGGCATTAATTAATTAAAATAAAATATTCTTTATCTTTGCATACGACCGACTGAATGACTGACTCAATGACTGAATAGACTGATAGACTAATTGATAGACAGACTGAGAGCCTAACAGACTGACTGATTGACAGACTAGCTAACAGACTAAAAGTCAGCTACTGACTGACATACGGACTGACAGATAGACACTCTGCCAGACAAAGAGACAGACACAAAAACGGATTAATAATTTTGTATCACAAATATATACAAAAAGGGTAAGACGCTCTTCAATAATAATATTTTTGCACTATAGTTGATAGTAGTTTTTTTTCAGTGTATGAAAACTAATCCAATGAATATTTTCTAAAATTATATCTAATATAATTTTACATATTCAATTTTCAGTCAAATTTTTTGTTCTCTCAATTTAAGCTTAGAAATCACTTGTAATTAACATTAAAAAGCAAATTTGAAAGACAAGAAACTAAAGCTCAGACTATTAGGTAAGTTTTCCAGAATCAAGAATAAGAGTCTAGTCCACACATTCCGTTTCGATAGCATGCTGTAATGACTTTTCAACAAACTACGTGACATGGAAAACTTTACCAACAATTTGGCCATAAACATAATTAGCAAAAGGTCTGCACAGCCTCAATCTCATGTGGGCGGGACCAACTGAGTCCGAACTGAGCTCAACTGAAGCAGAACAAGTGCAATCTGGGCAACTGAGAGCTTCCTCGTCTCGCCTTGCCCGCGCTTCCTGCTCCACGACCACGCTCGAGACAACGGAAGTCAATTTGTATGGTTCGTTGATTTTTGCGTGAATATTGCAATTTGGACTCAGTTTGAAGGATGTTATGGTTTACCAACGGCAGCTTTAAGAATAACATTTGAAACCAAAGTGTAAACAATGCGAGCAGCTGAACATTTAACATTTAGGTTAGATAAGCTAAGGTTTTTATTGCTGTATAAACCTTAAAGAGGAAGTAGAAAGTGAGGCTGATGATAAGTGAAAAGCTGCTATATATGTATGTTACCTAAGTAGTCAGTGCAGTCATCAATCAAACTACTCCGTATTAAGAACTAAAGCCATTTTGAGTTAACTTTTTATATTGTTTTATTGCCGCACACAGATTGCACTATTCCCGTCAATTTGAATAACGACCTATTCAAAAAAAATTTCAATTGCATTGCAAATTGCAAAATATGTTTTTTTGGAAGCACAGAAATATAAATAATAGATATAACTACCTAAAAAGAAAATCAACAACATGCGAAAAATCAACATTATATTTAAATTCACAAATTGCAAACATTTTGCCATTTAAATGCGCAGGGCTCAATGAATGGAACCAAATGAGACCCCGGCGACTGCTGCTCTAATGAGTAATGAAAACAGATTTATTGTTGGGCTTATTATATTATTCTGTCTGTTGCTGTTGTTGTAGTTATTGTTGTGGTTGCTGCGGTTGCGCTTTTGCAGTAGCCACTGCGACAATAACAATATAAAAATAAAATTCGTTGCCCCAGAGGGTCGAGATACAAATCACGAAGCTTTGCGAACATTGTGGCATTCGCTTTAAAAATTCCTGAAAATTAGTCAGCGAGGAAAAGATTCAGCGTGATTTCTTAATAAATTTCAGTGAAGCTTGGGTTATTGAACTAGACGTCTGATATTCGATATTAATCAAAAGAGAAATAAACGAAAATACATATGCGAATTAAAGAAGCATAAACAAAAGCCTTAAACAGAAGACAAAGTTGAATTTAAAAACGCTAATCGATTATTTATAGAAATATTAATTTGAGTTTAGCAAACGAAAAGAAGCGTGGATAATCAAACTTAAGAAGACACACGGCATCATTAAAGATGAGTGATAGAAAGATTGATGCAAAATCTGAAGACTTTGGATTTGTTTAGCAAGAAAAGAACACGTGTATATTAGATATAGCTATTATAAAATTCAACTTGCTTTCAAACTTGTTCCTCAGGTTAGCCAATTCATGGCGACAAAAGCTAAAAAGTGTGTAAAATATTTCCAGTGAACATAAAACTTTATTAGCAAAAACTTAAAAGGATAGAAATGCTTAAGAATTTTTCAATTATGAAATCAATTTTGTTAAATTAAAAAGTGTCTTAAATAATAAATAATATTATTTAAATAGAAATTCAAGTTAGTTATATGCTAAATATTGCTTATAAAATTTGGTCTTTAATAGGAATAAATATAAGAACACAAAACCATGAATTTCATACATCACTTCGAGCACATTACTTAGGTCAACCCACCCCATAATAATATATGTACACTAAATACTTTATGAATCACCCTTAAATACACTTCACAAGTCGAGTTCTAGTTTAACTAACGCCGCATGCTTCCCACTTCAATTCAATCAACCGTAAACAGAAACAGACCACCTCGTTCCACTTCCTCCTTCTCCTCCTCGGACATCTTTGCCTCGGGTGCTTGTCAAGCGAACACAACACATGGATATGCACCCGGGCCACGCCCACTCACCAAGGTGTCAGCACATCACACGCCCTGTTGGAGGGCCACCTGTACCGGTCCCTCCCATGAAATGGTTGCGTGCCTAATTGCTAGGCGAACGCAAAGGAAATATATTTTATCTTTTTCCCTAGCTGTCTGCCTGCCTTGCGGTTGCTATGACACTTGCTTTTACCAGGAATTTCACTGACTACTCAGCATAAACATAAGCCAAAGGCCTCCTGAATAGTCCTTGACAACAAATTACACAAATTTAAAAGCCAATTAGCAATAAGTTTTTTAATTTGCCTGAAACTCTTCAAGTCTAAACTACGATTGCAAATTCGTAGAATATTTAAAATTAAAGTAAATAAAAAAACTATAAAATTTAGTTCACAATCAGCTCAATTTAAATTTAGTTAACATAAAATATATCAATTATAATTAATATTAAATATTTTATTAATTTATTACAAATATATATTATATATATATATTATTTTTTTAACAATAAAAAATGTTTTTAAATAAAACACAATTATAAAAATTGTTAAAATATTAAATATTCTATGAATTCGAATTAATTAAATATAAAAGATATTATATTAATTCGTTTTTTTTATATCAGAACTGAATTTTTCTTTTTGTTTTGAAGTTTCAAGACTTTAAACGTAGAATATCTTAAAAACTTGACTATATCATCAAATTTTGATGTCTGCAAAACTGACTTATAAAGAACATAAGATACGTGGATATTATCACTGCTTACTGCGCTAAATATTTTTAATTTCTTTTAAAGTCTAAGACGAAATGCTTTGGAGCCCGTAGCCCAAGTTAGACAGCAAAATGCTCAAAGATTCCTATGCTGAGCACTTCGTTTGTCTTTAGTTATACATAATACATAGATAGATATATTTACTCTACAGTTATTTGATATTTTAAGGGAATTTTGTCAATAGCAACGCTTTTCATATAACATAAATAAAATAAAAAAACATCGCACTTTCTGCGCATTGGGACGTAAGCACAAAATCATGGGAATGTCATGAAAACGCAGCTAACTGTGAAAATTTGTTTTGCCCTAAAGAGAGGAAAAAAGGAAAATTGAAAGAAAAACAGAAATCCTATTGATGGCCAAGCAAGCAGGACAGTCACTTTTCCCCAAAAACGAACCCGAGTTCAGCTTTTACAAATGGCCAAGTTTGAGTCGGGCAAATGGAAATACCGACAGAGTGAGGGAGAAAAGAAAAACCAAAAAACAAAATGCACAAAATGCTTATTTGCGGTTAACCACAAAAGTGTAAAATAACACCAACTGGCAAGCATGTTGTCATAGGGGTACCAGTCGACCCTGCCCGCCCCTTCAGAGGGTGCGATGGCGGGACTAAAGCTGGCTGACAGCTGATTTGAGTCGTCTGTGAAATGGACTTGGCTTACATTTGAGTTCGAGTTTCTGATTAATTCAAGTGTAAATTGTATTGTGCTCACTTTTTAAATATGGACTGCAAATAATTTAGGCCAAGGTCAGTTACCTTCGATGGGGTTTAGTTCGATGTGGCCTATGACGCCAGTACGTGAGTTGGGTTGCTATCGCTTGATTGAGTTTTTTGGTAATGGCGCGCATTAATTACGCCTAAAGTTCATTATCAAGGGAAACGGCGAGCACAAAACTTTGGAGTAGTTGAAAAATGTTTATGCACAAAATAAAAGGTTGAGGTAATTAGTAGAGAAAATCGATTGGCTCAATTAATAATGACTCAAAGGTGCTTTGCAAATGAAGAACTGTAAAACATAGACAAACTGGAATTATGTTTTCTAATCTTATCTTATTAGTAAATACTTTGAAAACAACATTTTAAAATGAAAAGTAAAAAGTTCTCGTTCACATTCCAAAAGCAGATAAATTGATCAAAAATCTATATTTTTCGGCTTGTTCTTAGAGCTGACCGTATCTTTAATTTGTCTATCCGCAGAGAAGCTCAAGACATAGCTTCATTCGCTTTTGTTTTGGCATGAACGCAGCGAGCTTATTCAAAAAATACTTAAGACTTCATTAGACGAGAGTTGCACAAGAATATATATTTACAACTTTTAGTCTGTAGATATTGTATTTAAAAAAAATTGTATTGCTTTTGTGAGTCATTTAAAAAAGTTACAAAACCAAATACCAAATTCTA